ATTCATCAGCTGAGTTCTCAGTAGAGGACAGTAGAACTTATAACTTGTCCAGAATGAGAATTCTTGATATTGGAGGTAATGCTAAATTGTAAGGATAAAAATAAATAAATAAATCTAAATCAAAAGAAACCAATGTTAAGAGAGGTTACACCAGTGTTGGGTTGCCCCCAGTTTGGACTGGTTCACAAGAACCTGTAGTAAAACCGGTGGGAGGCTCCGCCCACTGACCCGGACGTCATCATAGGTGATCTGCGCATGCAGAATTGTGCGCGGGCACGATGCGAATTGGTAGTAAAGGTAATTAGAACCCATCCCTGGGTCACACTGTAAAAGAATTGCTTTATGACAACCTTCATGCCACTTGATTGGGAACAAAATTTAAATCCAACACTTCTGGAAGGCACTTCATTGAGAATCATGTATATTGCGACTTTAAATTTCCAGGTTATAACAGCATACCGAAACAGTGTATCAAGTTCTCACAACTTCTACATACTGGATATATGGGTTGCATCACCTAGTTTGGTTAATGAAACGTCAGCAAGAAAACAACCAAGGCAGAGAACACCAAGGATCCCACATTTCAACCCTGAGCTACACATATTCTCCCTTATTTGTATTAACTTTGCAATTTCAGGTAGCCTTCAATTTAACAACCATTCATTTTATGATGGTTTGAAGTTACAAAAGCCTCAGAAAAAGTGAGTTATGACCCAAAGACTCAGAGTTACAACGACTGCACCACTGCTGTCGTCATATGATTGTAATTTGGGTGCTTGGCAACTGGCTTCCATTTAGGCTGCTTGCAGTGTCCTGCAGCCATGATGGGGATTTGCAACCTTCTCAATGAGCTTCCAACAAGCAAAGTCTATTAGGTGAGCCAGATTTACTTAATGACCATGTGATTTGCTTAATGACCATGATGACGACAACTGTAAAACTGGGTCTGGTCATGTGATGACTTGCTTTAACAGTGTTGCTTAGTTAGCACTGAAATTCTGGTTCCTATTGTGGTTGAGGACTACTTGTATTAGGTATGAAGGGATTAAAAGAAAAATAGTGACACTATCTTAAAAAAAATGGAGATCATGAGAGACCATAAAACAACTCATGCTTTTGAAGCGGATTAAATAAACCTATGTGAAGCTGGTATATCCATATTGTACAAGATGCAGTCCTCCCAATCAGAAAGAGTTCTTTCTTACATTAAAATTCAATTTGTTAGACTACAGAGTTAACTGTAATTCTGCTTCCAGAGCACAGTTTTATTTGCTTGAGTGTTCATGCTGTTAAAATTTCTTCCCTTGGCAGATCAAACGTGCCTTCTTCTATATGTTACCAAGTGGAAACCTTTTATTTGAGATGCATTACTATTGTAAAGGCTTGTAAAATATATTCACTGATTTAAAGCAGATATGTAAACTCACACCATGAATGGTGCTCTCAGAAACAGATGTGGCCGGAATAATTATTTATTTACTAAGCTTACATACCACTGTATGAATCTAAATGATCTATGGTGGTTTATAAAGCAATAACAAAAAATCCCGATTAAAATCAAAGAAAAAAACCCAATAAAATCTAAATTAAAAATCCAAATCAACAGGATAGTAATTTAGCACAAACATCAACGACGCAGACTATTCTAATTTCCAAAGTCATTGTGAAACAGTTTTGTCTTGAAGGTTTTATGGAATGGGCCAGGGTTAGACATCAAGGGAAGAACGTCTTGGAAAAAGCCTGACTTTGGATCTCCACCGATCTTACCTACTATAAATGAAAAAAGAGAAAGAATCCTCAAGTGGAACAAGTATGCAGGTCAGTTCTGATAGAGAACCACAGAAAAGACCTTGGAGAAGGAATGCAAAGGCTAATAGGAAGTAAGCAAGAGAGCAAGGAAGCGAGCAAACCTGGGAAGAAATGAGAAAGATTAGAATGAAACTTAACATTGCCCCACACCTTGACCCCCTGTACTTCTAGGCTTTCGAGATTCTATTATTATAGATAGCCTACATCAATAAAGTAGAGCGCCAGTAGTTCTTGTAAAGTCTGTCTCCTGATCTGGCCTACCTCAACGTGCTGACAATTCCACAGGGAGGAAGTGGTCTTCTAGAAACAAAGCCACATTCAGTTTTGCAGATTAAAACCAACAGTTTTCAAGGATGCCTGGAAATTTATTGGCCACCAATGCATTTATTGAGGATCTAGTCAGATAAACTCCAGCATATGAATATCTTCTTGTGAACCAAATTTTACTGATTATATAAGTCAAAAATAGAAAATATTAGTTTCTCTTTCAGTCTTGAGGCTAATCACATAAGTAACATTTACCTTAAGCATCTAGTGTTCCCCCTTTTCGCTTCTTTGCTGAACTTCGGACATTCTTGACATGCAGTAAAATAGAAAATTACTTTCTGACAAGTGCTTCTACTATTCAGTGATTAAAACGGTCACCGCCTATAATATTACATCTCATGTTATTATTATGGTGAGGATGGCTAAATTAAGCTATAACTTATATTAGTGAATCTCCCCCTTTGAGTTAATCAAGGGTATTAATTATGCTTAGTTGGCCAACACTCAGGGCTAGCAAAGTATTGGTTTTTTTTCCTTGGGTCTTCTTCTCCCACTGTGTAGATACACACTATCCTTATCTTCCTTGCAGCCAAGAACTCTTTGATAGCCTTGAAGTCAGTGATTCTTAAACAGCTAAAACTGCCGAAATGCAATGTAGTTTGACAGCCATTATCATCTTCTCTATTTTTTTGATTCCAAGAACAACTGTCTTCTTAGTCTAATTCTTCTTCCCATCTCCAGCATGAAGAACCAGATCATTCACACAGTGTCCTCACCACCATTTCCTTTCCAATAGCCACAATTCTTACCCCAGTTCCATTACCTCCAAAAGAACCACATGTACTGTGCATCAGCTACGTAATTCCATTCTGCCCCAATTTTCAGGGTCCTGCTAGTACCTTTGCAACTCTCTGTAACAACTACGGTACTTATTAATGAAGTTGTTCTGAATTGAAATGTTCCTGTGAATTTTATCCAATTCCAGTGGTATGTTCAATTATCCAAAAATGTTTTCTATGCAGTTGTTATCACTCTTACTTGGCACAATACTTCCATTACTGATCATACTAAGAGAAATTAAGTTTTATCCATAAATTGTGGTTCTTTCATTCCTGTTCAAAACCTGTGTCTTTGAACTTGACTGTGCATCAAATTACTGCTCTATTTCTTCCTAGACTTTCTTACTGCTGTAAGAGCTCTCTGAATGTCAATAAACACGTTGAAGGTGGAAACCACAGCTTTTTTTTCCTAAAGATTTATTTTTAATCATTTATTTTCTGTACTAATTTTATAAGGCTGACCAACTCAAACAAGGTGACTTGTGGAGGGAGCGTACAAAATTTTTGAAACCTAAACTATTGAAGGTATCACAGGAAAATCAATTTGCACTGGTTTCTCTCATTATTAATCTGCAGAACAGCAGATTATACTTTACATTGCCACAAGGCATAACAGAAATATATTGTGACACATGTTTGATAGTTAAATTATATACAAATACAGTAATTCCAACTATTGGGACTTATTACCGTACATAAGTAGGGCTCAGTGATGAGTATACTATCTTATCCTCATCATAATATCTGGGCTTCGTTAGATCGCATTATATTCCTGAAGCAGTCCTATTTATTCTTCAAACCTATAAGGAATCAGTTTCCCAATCTATATTCTATCATGAACCAGCTGAGAAGCCACTTATGTTTTGGGAAAGGATTGTAGTAGCTACTGTGAGGTGACAATATATGGTGACAATTATATTTCCTCTTTAGGAAATAATGCATGAAAAATGGCAAAAGTTCACCTGCAAAAAGCAACTAGAGGGGTTCTAAAATTAATTAAAAACCACGAAGGGAAAATAATGTCTTCAAAAAATCAAGAGTATCAAATATCTTATAACTACAACAGAAGAACAAACTTAAGAAAACTAAAAATCTTAAAAAGAAAAAAAAAGGGATGTTGGCACTAAACATAGTAAATTAGGCCCCCAATGGTTCTTTCTGCCAAGTATATTTCACAAAGAGTGGACTCTTACTAAAACGGCCCCTTCACAATTAGCCATATGCTGTATAACAACCCACAAGCAAGGACCACTCAGGAAAATCAGTGCAGTTGTTGGGTAACACAAAAAGCAGAAAAGATAAACACTTCTCCTTATTAAGCATGTTAATCTACCAACCATGTATTACTTTCTTTCCATAAAAATACTAATAAGAATCTGTTCATTTTTCCAAGGTGGCTATCACAAACATACTCAGTTGAAAAATAACTTCTCTGAAATCATCAGCTGAGTTCTGAGTACAGTAGAACTTATAACTTGTCCAGAATGAGAATTCTTGATATTGGAGGTAATGCTGAATTGTAAGGATACAAAAATAATAATAAATAAATCTAAAATCAAAAGAAACCAATGTTAAGAGAGGTTACACTGTAAAAGAATTGCCTTATGACAACCTTCATGCCACTGGATTGGGAACGAAATTTAAATCCAACACTTCTGGAAGGCACCTCATTGAGAATCATGTATATTGCGACTTTATGCTCAGGGACATAATCCATATAAAACAGAGCAAAAGGAAAAAGAAAGAAAGCAGAAGAACAGCCTTTGGTTCTCACTCTAGTAGCAGGAAAGCCTTCTGAGTAAATTCTCTGCTAACTGTAGCAGATACTGAAAAAAGAATGCCTGGCTCTTTGGTGTAGTGGTGTTTCCATTTCTGAGAAATTTGAAAAGCATAAGTCATCTATTGCAATGTCTCTCAACCTTGGGCATTTTAAGATGTGTGGACTTCAACTCCCAGATTTCCAACTCCCATCTTAAAACGTCTAAGGTTGAGATATTCTGCTCTGGAAGAAAGAGATGCTGGAGGAAGCGGGAATCGAGCATTTGCTCCTGATAAGCTAAAAGCCTCAGAGCGCTGCAAAAGTACCTGTTGTTTCAGCTGCTGAACCAAGCGGTCTTTTTCACGTTTTAATCCAGCGACTTCCTCTTGAGTTTTTTTCTTAGAGGACGAAAGCTCCAGGAGAGCAATGTTGGCATCTTTTTCACTAATGGCAGCTAGAAGGGCTTCTTGTCTGGAAAAAGAGAAGAAAGAAAGAAAGAAAGAAAGAAAGAAAGAAAGAAAGAAAGAAAGAAAGAAAGAAAGAAAGAAAGAAAGAAAGAAAGAAAGAAAGAAAAGAACTGATTAATTTCACTCACCCTGCTCAAAATATGCAAATGTATCTTGCCCTGTTCATAATTTAATGCCGATTCCTGCTTTGTGCTCCCTTTAAAATATCAGGATGCATCTAGTTAAAGCTATGGTCATTTTAGGACTCTGAAAGTGATGATATGTTGAGGGAACTATAAGCCCCGTTGGCTTAGCATTCACTGGAGTTTATAGCAGAAGTATTTGCTAAATAAATCTATTGGGATAGCTCATGACAGCAATGAGATTCTATCAGAGAACTGACAGTCCTTTTAAATATATGACTATATCCTGGATATCCCCTTTATGCAAGAAAGTTGTATGTACACACGCACACATCGACAGCTTCCTAAAGCAACCTATATCCAGTTAAACTCAGAGCAAGTTTACATGCAAGTTAAATAATAAGTTTACCTTATAATTTATAAAAGTTAAATTTAAAAGAATTTTCAGTTTATTTTTCAACTTAAAATGCCCTGCATTTTTACTAAATGCAATATAAACTCTTAGAATATCAAAGGGAAAAAGAACTCTCAACAAGAGAGATCATGCCTGAATATTTCCTCCTGCTCAACAAAATTGTCAGCATGTGCAGCCACTGATTAGTGTACGAGGTAGCAGCAAATGCATGGAAACTCTCTACTTCACCAGGTTTAGTCATCACAGCTTTAAAGCAGTACCTTATAACACAGGTTGCTTGCATGGTCCTACTGCAAGCAGCTCACAGATTAATACTCAACTGTGGGTATTTCTCAAGTTGTATCTGAGCCTACCCATGCAGCAACGTATGTTCTAGATTTGTTATTCTGTTCAAATGGAATTGGCAAGGTGAAAATGGAGGCAGTCTGTATTACTTTAGCTATATTACTTTAATCACCTTCTCATGAATAAAGGCAAATATACATATCCCGGGATAATGTTGCAGGATCCAACCTGGGTCGGTCACCGGGACCAGAGGTTTAGTCTTCTGAGTTTTCGGACTCATGCCGGAGCCCATCCTCAGGGAACTTCTCTCTCACCACAATGTGTCACACAAGTCCAAAAGCTCTGAAGACTAAACCTCTGGTCCCGGTGACCGACTCAGATTGGATCCTGCAAAACCACCTTCTGGACAACTTTATGTTGATTATTGATATGAAATCTGCAAGGGGGGGGGAAGGGAATCCATGAAAATGGTTGTTTCTAGAATTCAGAACATTTCTATATATATTCCAAAAGTTTCTTTTTCTCCTTCCATCACATCTCCATGAAATAGGCCAGAACTTCTTTTCCATGCTCATGTTTTCACCCATTTTTAAAGGAGCAATTGCTGGGCATCTGGGATACAACCTTCTATGTAACTTCTAAGCCACTGATTGTGCTTCCTTAGGAAATGTGTCTAGCTCTATTTCTGCTTTTAGAGGTTTTTATATTTGTTAGTTAGTTGCCTAACAGCTAAATTAAGCAAATAATATATGCATAATGTTTTAAGAATCTTTTAAACATTGCTCACATTTAAAATACAGCTGGAAAATCCATGGTCTACATGTTTCCTGAATCTACTTTTCAGAGCCCCAGATATTATGCTACTGAGCTCTAGGTTCCAAAAACACATACATAAGCGGTACAAATCATTTAAATGTTTGTTTTTTTTTAAAAAAAACCCAAATAATTTTGCATCTTCTAGATTTTAAACTTTTTCAACAACTTATTAAATAATTTCAAAGGACTGCCATATTGCAGATCTATTTCACTGTCTGAATATTTACTATAAATTATAATTGATGTTTGTCAGAAGAGGCAATAGTAGTACAGGTACCCAGCTAAATATTTTTCATTTATAATGAAAACGTTGGAATTATATGAAACCTTAGACATGAATTATTTCTGGATTTAAAAAAACCACAACTATTTAAGAATCACCTCCACATTTCTGGAAAAACTATCTAGATACTGATGAAGTCTGAACTCCCTGTAGAGCCACTGAGGGAGTCCCTTCAGATGTGTAACCAATACTACAAAGACATCTCAGATATGACTTTATAGACTGGTCTCTTACTTAAAGATACATCAAGGGTCAAGCCCATGTGTTGGTTACATTTCTATTATTCCCACAGTGCAATGACGTGAAAAAAATTCAATGGCCTGAGGTCAGAACAGTCCACTCATAAAATGATTTATGGCCCAGGAGCTCCATTCCTCAGGTCTATGGATTTTATTACAAAATAAACCTCAGAACAAGATACAATTTCCTGTCTGAGCGAACAGCTTTTACATTAAGACACCTGGACAGCCTTACAATTATTTAAGTGAAATAATAGGTCTGAACCACACTGGTGCAACTTATTGCTGGTGTTCGCATCCTACAGCTGCTAACTTTTAAAATACTCTATATGCCCATCAAGTAGACTGGCAAACATTTAATACTACATTAAGAAAACCTATATGTTGGATCTATTATCAAGACAGTACAGAAAATTTGTGACACAAAAAAATTGTACTTTGGCTGCTAGTAACTTGACTTTTTAAAACTGTTAAATCAATACAATATTCTTACTCTTAAGATAAGATCTTGACTGCTGTGCAGAACAAAAATGTATTTTCATAAGGACATACTTCACTATTCTTACATAAAGGATATAAATCAGTCACTCCAACCCTCCCCCCCCTCTCTCTGTGCATGTGTGTGCATGTATGCAATAAAGAGGGCTACATTTATATACAATATGTAAATAAATGTGACAATTTATTAGAAAGCTTTTCATTTCTCTTAATATATATGTGATTCCTATAAGCTATGTTAAAAAACATTTAAATGGTTTGTTTATAGAGTTGTCAAGAACTCAGTTAGGATGTGGTAAATTGTTGTAAGTGCTGATCAAAATGGGATAATTTAGAAAGTAGAAAATACTAATACAAATACTACACCCCAAAAACTTCCTTGCAGCCCAAATCCTAATACGAGGTTCTTGTAGCCAGGACTGATGCATTCCTAGATAGCAATACTGAAAAATGAAACCCATCATTAGGGACTAGGGTCATTTAAATGCATTAATATGTTTAAAACATAATATTTATTTCAGCCTTCCATTAGTTTGAGTTGTCCTCATTTACTAAAATCCTAAAACAAAACAAAAAATGTTTCCAGGAAACCACAGTATATAGATATTTATAATTCTTTGTTAATTAGCATTAAAGATTGAATACATTTTCTCAATCTACCAAAAAGAAACAGTATACAGCTACAACAAGAACACATTAAGTTTGTTGTAGCATGGTACGCAAACTTTATTACAAGGACTCTAAGGGATCAATTTTAATACATTTCACGTGGTGCCAGTGTTTCTTAGAAAGATAATTGCTTTTTCATCTGATTGCAGAAGAATTCTCAAAGGAGCAACAGAAATTTTTCTCTTTCCTGCAACTTCACAGGAGAACGATGCATGCTTTAACAGAAATCATGCTGATTTTTTTTTTTTCCTGGACACAGGTTAAGAGGTTAACTGAAAAACAGAGTAACATATTCTTGAAACAAGAATTAAATTCTGGGGATCAATAAAGATTAAGAGTCTATGAACACCATGACAAGAAAGATTTTTTTTTAAGACAAAGAACTAAAGTTTTAATCGCTGAATTTTCCAAAAGGATATTTCAAGAAACAGAACTAAAATAAAAACAGACCCAGAAGTTTTAATTACAAGTGCTATATTTCCTGTCAACCTGTATGTGAGAGAGGGATGAGCTAGTATTTACACAACCAGCAAGCTCAAGAGTGATTATTCCTGGTGTTTGGTGGCTCGTTGCACTGCTTTTGCATATTTAGGTGTTACGACTAACGGTTTCTTCCAATAATTGTAGAGAACAAATGGATGGTAAATGCTGGAATCCACGGGTCACCTGAGCAAACAAGTTGTTGCAACAATAAAGATTAATGACAGCTGTTGCGTACATAACCTCAATTACTTTTTTAGCTTGGGAAATCAAGAACGTACTTATGGAAATAAATTTGGTTCAACCGAGAGGGGCAGCTACTTGGTGGAGGGTAGGGTGCCTCATATCACAGACTTTACTACAGAGGCAGTCTGAGGTTACTCTGTGATAGTTCTAGTTCTTCTCCCAAAGTCTATAGGCAACCATTGAGAGACACTGTTCGATCTGAACCAAGGAGCCTGTTGTATAAAAGTACATCAACTTCAGTTACTATTCATAAGGGATCCCCTAAAGAGCTGTAAAATCTGCCTTCAGCCAGCTGCTGTAATTGCTGTCTGTCAAAACAGAACTGTTTTCTTACTAAACATTTCAAAGCCTCCGGAGTTGGGTTGATTAGCTTGAAGGTGGGCGGGTGATGGGAAGGGTGAATGAGGGGCAGAGTAAGACTGATGGTCTGTGGACACTGAACTTTTATTTAGTTAACGTACCCCAGAGAGACACTAACTCTACATTGGAGGGAGGAAAAATCTTGCCCGTTCTAGCAGAACAAGAAAGCAACAGGAAGGAATTGTTACAAATAATGCCTGGGTTCCTGATGTGGGAAGCGTAAAGAAGTTCAGACATGAGCAAACAACCTACCAAAGAGAATTGCTGATATTGCTGCTCACGAAATATGTAACTGTCGAAAGGAAGAAATCCCTTTTAGTTTTTCCCCCCATTAACTTTTCTGTAACAGTAAAATATTTTGAATGTTCAGTGTGAACTGAATGAGTTCAAATGAGGACCCAGATGGTGGGGGTAATAAGCTGACTTTATATAAAAATATATAAAAGTATGAAGGCTATTGCTTAACGCATTGTAAGCCGCCCGAGTCTCCGGAGAAGGGCGGCATATAAATCAAATTTTTTAAAAAAGTGTCTTAAAGACAATTTTATTCCATACTAGTGACCCCAAAGCAGCACCCTAAAATAGACTGGT